GATCACCCCCAATATTGTCTATACCACAGACTAGTTGGACACACCATAAAAGACTGCTTCAGCTTTAAGAATTGGCTTGAGTATAATTTCATAAATGAGAACATAACGATTCCAAAAGAATATTTGAAGGAACTTGAAAGAGGTTCCACCAATATAATTTCGGTTGATCCAATTGTTCCAGTTCGTGAAAAGGGACATCAGCAAGACAACGGATAGTGGGTCCTGACCCTCCCGCCACAATTCGGATTTCGTTCAAAATTCTGTAGACAATTTGATATCAAATGAAGAGAAATTTTCCTTTTGGAATAACTCACGTTGTATGCTTAAAGTTCATCGGAAGCACAATCAAGAAAAGTGCATTCAACGTAACAAATTTCTGGTGGCGTTTTGACAAAATTAAGACTTAAGGGAGAAATGCAATTGATACCTTAATTATCATGTCCTTCACTTTAGAACTCTGAGTGGGTCCTAACTTTCGAATGAGTTATAATATCTCAGAATGCGTGTTAAGAAACATACAAAACCCTCTTAAATATATACTCAGAATTAAGTTACGTGACCCAGAAAATTCAACTGCAATTCCAATGCGAGAGCATCAACTATAACTTCAATTCGAGAACATCGAAGTGTTTCTTTGACACAACATGAACAGTTTATATAAGAGCAGTGATGAAAAAGATACCAACCACAACGGTGTCATAGAGTCAAAACCTCTCAAGCCGCGATATCTTTTGAAATAGCACATCTTTATGTGTACTTGAAATAATACAATTCCCATAGCACCTTAAAAGATGGGTTAATTTTTTTTACATGCTTTCGATCAGTCGACAATATCTCAAGAAGCATTATGCGTCGCGATGTTTCAGAAAGAAAGTTCTGTTCTTAGAAGCACCGATGCCACGTGTCTAGAACTAGGTCCAAGAAAAAAATAAAAAAAAGAAAATTTCAAATAAATAAAAACTCACAAAATAGATCAGATCGAACAAAATCAAAATGAATCATAAACATTCAAATTATTTTCGCAAATTCAAATATTCTTCTTAAATTCGCATATTCCACACAAATTCATATATTTTTACTTGAATCCACATATTTGCGCATTTTATCCACATATTTTTTCGCATTCACATATTTGAATCCACATATTTTCGAAATTCATATATTTGAATCCACATATTTTCCATATTCACATATTTGAATTCATATATTTTCACATTCTATATACATATATTTTCTCGCTACCCCTTGGGTTGGATGTGAGTCCTAGCGCTTTCCTCCCCAATGTAGCAGATATGTAGCAGATATATTTTCCTCGTCACCTCTTAGGTTGGATGTGAGTCCCAGCGCTTTCCTTCCCAGCGTGACAGATATATTTTTCCGCTACCCCTTGGGTTGGATGTGAGTCTCAACGCTTTCCTCCCCAATGTAGCAAATATTTTCGTCACCTCTTGGGTTGGATATGACTCTCAGTGTTTTTCCTCCTAGCGTGACCGATATATTTTCCCGCTACTCATTGGGTTGGATGTGAATCTCAGCGCTTTCTTCCCCAATGTAACAAATATTATTCACGTCATTTCTTGGGTTGGATTTGAGTCACAGTGTTTTCCTTCCTAGCAAGACTGATATATTTTCTCACTACCCCTTGGGTTAGAGGTGAGTCCCAGCGCTTTCCTCCCCAATGTAGCAGATATTTTTCTCGTCACCTCTCTGATTGGATGTGAGCCCCAGTGTTTTCTTTCCTAACATGACAGATATATTTTCCTCGTCATCTCTCTGGTTGAATGTGAATCACAACGCTTTTCTTCTCAGCACTCAACAATCTTAGCACTCAGCAATCAGGATAGGCATCGTCCTACTCCTTCTCAGCACTCAGAAATCATGATAGGCCCTGTCCTATTCCTCCTCATAACACATATTTGGGATAGGGTTTGTCCTATTCTTCCTCAGCACATTTAGGATAGGATTTGTCCTATTTTTCCCCAACATATTTGGGATAAGCTCTGTCCTATTCCTCTTCAGCGCACATATTTGGGATAGGCTCTGCCCTATTCTTCCTCGACACATTTGGGATAGGCACAACCCTACTCCTTCCCCAACACATTTGGGATATGTTCAACCCTAATCATTTCTCGACACTTCTTACAATCATGTTGTTTCTAACAATCATAACAATCTCTGCAAGACAAAAAAATCCATAGCAAACAAAAACAAATAAAATGCAACAAAAAATAATAAAGGCACAAATAAACCAAAACAAACTAAATCGATATTTAAACTTGAAAGTTCAAATTCACAGCAACAAATTAAGAATACATTTGTTAATCCCCAGCAGAAACTCAACTTCACTTCAATTCAAATTCAACTCTTGATATTGATATTTTCACATTATTTTAGTGATTTTATTAATCACTTCGGTCAACGCCAATAAATGTGGTGTGCTGGCACAGCCCACCCCACCTATTGAAGTTCAATTTGTTAACCTTATTTTTTATGACGTCACTTCTTCTTCTTAAAGCCTAGGGTCTAGATATAGGACTTCCACTTGAACTCTCTTAGAGGACTAGTCTAGGACCCGCACCAAGTAAAATTCAAGTCACTTCTTGACTCCTTAAAGTTTCATATGGGTGATTCTAAATCCTCAATATTTGGTTGAATCGATTAAAACTAACGTAAAGAAACTCAAGTCGAGTACCCATAAAATCTAAAGACTTAAAAAACTCATCATGACTTTCGCGCACTCTCACAATGCGCGAATACCACAATTCGCACGCTCGTTGCACATAAATATTAAAATTCACGTCATCTGCACCTATAGAAAGCTTTACGATTGATTAAGCACGAATCAATTGCTAGAATAATCAATCACAGAGTAAAATTTAAAGAAAATTGAATTTGACGTGTTTTCGACTCGACCGTCAACGAAGTCGTCCGAACGACACCGGATGAGGGAACAAACTATGTCGGTGCGTCCGGGACATCGAATTTAGCTAGGAGGGACACCCATTTCGATATAGTTTCGTGCGCAAGCGTAAAATGCATAAATCGGTAGGATTGAAACACTAAATAATATCATTTCAAAGACATAAAACCAAATAATAGGATAGTTAGGAAGTCACTGAGGTGTTCCTCGGATCTGTGACATCCCCTACCTTTCATCCCTTTGACTCCTGAAAAATAATTGTTCTTATTTTGAGTCATTTTTACCTTTCATCCCTTTCTCCTGAAAAATAATTGTTCTTATTTTGAGTCATTTCCTTTTGATTTTCCTATGTCTAACCTTAGAAACCCAAACTTTGAAATCTAGAAGACAGAACCACTAATCTTAATCGAGAATCTTCTTAGGTGACTTCAATTGTCTAAGATATAATTAACTATAAGGGTTTGCCTCTATAGAGAACTTAAGGACCCAACTTAATATAAACCCTATTTAACTATCTGTGTTAAATAACAGAAGTTGTCGACTTATAAAAAAAAGGTTTCGCAGACCAAACGGACGTCACAAACTCTTTAGTTTAGGTGGTTAAGTCTACTAACAAATGTTATATTTATCCTTCTGGATAATGTACTATTTGTGGTATCATGATCAACCATTTAGACTATCAAATATGTTAGGTCAATTCGGTCTCCTTTTTCTAAATTAAAATATTATTATTATCCAAAATTATAGTCATATTTATAAATTAAATTGAAATATTATTTTCCAAAGTTAAAATACTATTTAATAAAGTTATAATCACATATATATAAAATAAATTAAATTAAATCATAAATAAAGATTCCGCAATACTTTATTTGGCCATCAAAGAGGAAGCAGAGAAACTAGCAAAACTGTTATAATATGCTCTAAATCATCTTTGTTAAACAATCAACCATGGGTTGCAAATTTACAATTACTCGGAGGTGATGTACTCATTTGTCTGTTCACTATAGAGAGACCTCTAATGTTCATTGATAAAACCAATGATCTTATTCCAAGTCTTCAACATAATCCACCATCATCACACCCTAAATAGATATCAGATCTAAAGTTCTCTATGGAGTATAACCTAGACCTTACTAAATAATTGAATCATAGTCGGATACAACAAGAAAAGAGAGAGTTTATCTCTCAAAAAAATTTTTAATGAATTGGCATACAAAAAATACATATGATTCGCATTATGTCATGTGTATGCATCAAACCGGTAGCCTCATATTTATATGTGGAATCCAGAGTCAAGGTTATAAATTGACAAATAACTGAATTACATAGAATGGCATAGATTGATATTGTTGTAACTAGCTATGGAGCAAAAGAGCTTGCTTAATAAATCATCGGTGGCTTCAAGCAAAAAAGGCGAGTTGAATTTTACCCTGATGAGTTCTTAAATTCAACAATCTTGGCGCATATAAGGGGCAAGTTACTCAAGCGAGAACCTCTTGTCAGCCGACTGCACTCTTGGTCAGTGATCTAACTGGATTAGTGAACTTCAAGCAAGTATCCCTATTTCATGGGTGACTTCTTGAATCTTTTAACCAAGTCAACAGCATATTTTTGAGGACTAAATTGGTGCAACTCTTAGGAAACTTGTTGGTAACTGTGTGGCATACCAATCTTAAGGCCTTAGGCAAGTTCTAAGGAGTGAGGGTTCAAACCAGTTCAACTTGTAACAGCTTCAAAACCCAATTGAGATCTATAATATGATGATTAATCAAACTCTGGAAAATATGAACGTACATCTCATATAATTATTTCTCGGTAACAGAATTTAAGTATTTAATGAGATATGCAAGAATGTTACCTCACTAATTACATATAAGCCATTGCATGAGGCAGATAGCTATTACGATGCTGAAAAAAAAAAAATTTTTCTCTCACTTAAGAGCATGTTTCTATAAGAAATTCACTCTATACTATTTCACTTGAAAAACTTGCATTTAAAGTCAAAACATGATGAAAACATAATAATCGCTCACAAAAATGTTGGAAATTTCTCGAGGTTTTAAAAGCACTGGCAAACCTGTTCCAATGATGCTATCCTTGACTGAAACAGAAACAGATGAACTGATGTGAATTCCATCAGTATTAGGGCTTCTTTCAGGTGCAATCACTTTCACCCGAGAAACTTGAACTTGAAAGCAATTACTGAAAGCGAGATGGATCTTTTGACTATTCACCAGAGTCAAATCCTGTAAGGAAAGACGCCTCATCCGATGAAACGTAATTGCCTGCATCAGCATAGTTTTTCCAGTTTGATAGTGAAGAAAATTACTACTAAAGCATAATAAATATAAAAACTAACTGTTGGGGCTCTTCGACATGGCTGCAAAAATGAAAAAAAAAAGCTTCAGAAATCGTTGTTTTATTAGCACGGATATGAACATTAACATGAGGTTAAAAGCTTTACATTTGAAGAATTGACCTTGCATGACCTCGCCCACCACTCCTGGCCCATGCCATCAATAACCCCTTCGCCTCTAATTTCAAGATCCTTTATCCCGTGGAAATAAAGCCATCTACGAGCATTTTCCTGTTGCCAGATATCAGGATCTGAGGGTGCCACAATTGTTCCCATGAGCTGTTAAGTGTGCAGTTCTTGAATCATTAAGCTAGCACCATTAATAATATTAGGAAGAAATGAATTGGGCTTACAGAAAGATGAAGCAAAATGGTGAAACTTTAGCTAAGGATATTTCTATGATATAGATTAGCAAGATGAAATGAAAAAGGAAAGAAATATTACAAACAGGAGAAACTGTCAAAAGTCCCTATACAGTTTGCAGTGGTTCATTTTAGTCCTAGAGTATATAAATGTTAATTTAGTTTCCAAAACTTTTTAATATGGGCTGAAACAGTATTTACAAAGGACTATTTCAGCTCCTATTAAAAGAGACTAGGCATTAGTTTGACAATTTTAAAAAGTTTGGGACTAAAATGACCCCATGTAAATAGTTAGTGGACTATTTTTGCAATTTACTCTTACCAACATTGTCACTTTAGATTTGCAAGGGCCACCAAAGTTTGTCTGCCTAAGAAAATAAACATTCCCAGCTGGAATTTTAAGGATTGCTCCTACTTTTGAGGAACAAGCAAGTTTCCAAGCATCCAAAAAGGCCTGTACAAATGAACAATCAGTTTCATTTTTTTATTTTCTATAGGCTGATGAAGCAAAATACACATCTTTCTGACAATTGCTAAATGGGTAATTTGAGGATGCACACAAAATAGGCAATGTGACAAAAAATATTTACTATTTCAGTAAAAGGACATATTCTGTATATGAATCTACTTGAATACGCTGTAAATTAATAACTTAAAGTACACCAAAAATTTAATGATGTAATTGCAGTGGTAGGCATTTAAAATGCAAAAGTGATAGAAGAATCCTTCAAGACCACATAAGAAATTGAACAAAAGATTATGGAAAAACTTATTAGGAATTATTTGGTAATATACTCCTCAAATAAATTCATGCTTAGCTTAGCGGCACTTCAACCGCTTATATGATAGTTGCATTAGCATCTTTAAAGCAACAAATCAATACCCAACTTCTCTTATTTCATGCTCAAATTCTACTTAGCATGTACTCAGAAACAGTGCACCTCATCCATATATAAGGTATAACACATAAAAATTGCACACAGAAAAAAAATAGTGTGCTAGAACATAAGGCATTTCACTCAAATACTCTATTCAAGGCCAAATACTTTAATCGTGAGTGAAGTATCCTATTTTTAGGTGAAATATCTTCATATAAGAAAGGCAATGAATCACATGCGTGATATGAGGAACCAAATATTTAATTGAATAACCATCAATGAATCACATGCATGTATGATGGTTATGTTATATATTTGTGTATGAGTAACATATAACATAACCATCATTCACAACCAATTTTAATTTGATTGTGTTTGAGAATGAAGCATTACTTGTAGGAAAAAAAATTGGTTAAAGGATCTCAAAATCATTGAATTGGCTTTCAAAATAATGCAATGTAGACTGATCAATAAAACTCTTAAGAGAAAAAACTGGGGCGGAATATTTTAACCAAAATTTTTGCCAGGATGGACCTTGAAACACTCTCGAATTTGTCACGAGTATAATATAAATCATTTATATGTTACACAACCCTCAAGGTAAAAACCCTTGGATCAACTTTGTCCTGAGTATATTTTAAATCACTTATATCTTGCACTCCTCTCAAAAGTAAATCCAAAGGCATCTAAGCCCATCTTGAACAATGTTTGGTCAATATATCTACATAGAATTTTTTCTTACTTGTCTTACCATAATCAACCTTCAAAATTCCTCATTTTTTTCAGGGGTTATATGATACTTCAAATCAATGTCGAGTGGAAATAAGAGAACAGGTCTGCCTTCAAGAGAACGAACCAAAAAAAAATAGAAAACAAAAAAAGATAACGGGCATTCAATGCCATCCCCCAAAAAGCATTGTAGAAGGTTGAATTTGTACTAAATTCACCAAAAACAAATTTAACAAAAAAAAAAAACGATTCCTTACCTTGAAGACTCTGTTAATCACTCTTCAAGTCTGTGCCAAGATTCAACAAAGCCACAAAAATAAAAAATATTCCATCGTAAGTGACAACAAGCAATCAACAAGCGTTTTCGTCATTCAAAATTGGAACCTTAGATCATCTTTTCTTACTTCAATCGTCACAAGTCACACAAATTTCAACCAAGATCTCATCGTTTTCATGAAAAAACCAACTGGCATTTTTCTCGTACCTTTGTATCATCTTGGATCCCATTTCCTTTAGCGCCGTGATTAATCACTGAAACTACCCTCATCGTCCTCGACCGTCTCGCCCCGCGCCTAAAGCTCGGAAGCCGAAGCATAGGCTCGAATCCTCCAGCTCCGGCTCGCTCCGACCATGAAAGCAGTAAGCCCAGCACCACAACAACAGTAACACGTGAAGAGGAGGAGGCGGATGAAGAAGAAGAAAAACATCGAGACACCATTGAGCTTGTCAACTCCGCTTGAAACAAGAGGAGGCGGGGAAGAAACAAAGAATAGCAGCGGCATCAAAAGGTACGGGTTTTTGAGGTGGCAGACCCGAAACGAGGGCCGCGTGTCTGCCATGTATTAGTTCGTCTCGGTCTGATTCGACAGTGGGGAGGCAAGCGGAAAGTGTGAGCCTGGTTGTTGGCCGATTCTCCTTCTTGGCAGTTGTGATGTCAACAAACTTTTTCTTTCAAGGGGTCAGGTTTCCTTAAAAGTTTGAGTGTTATACAAGTGAGTATAAAAATTTAAGGATGAATATGTAAATACAAAAGAATAACGTGATATGCATGTAAATTCTTTATTATTTTTTTATTATCTCAAATTAATATTCTTAATTCATAAAATATGTAAACCTTGTACTAGTATTTTATCAGTCATTCTAAAGCCAAAGTTAGGAAATTTTGGCATAGTAATCTAATTTCATCATTTGTTTTGATGATGTAGAGAATTGATGTGTGCTAGAAAATTCACGGCGATAGAGTAATAGATTATCGTCTTAACGTTACACGAAGATTCAACAAACACTCATATGTAAAGGGAAACGACATCAAAAATTTTTAAGTGGAAAACCCGTAAAGGGAAAAAACCACGGGGCCTGACACATTTATAAAAATTCACCATAAGTTGATGATTACAGATGCCCCTTTGTCCCACAGACGAGAAATTGTTACTAGATTTTCCAAGGTACGACGTCAATTGACGCGTCTAGTGGCGTCTAGTCAGCAGTGGTCGATGACGGTTGGCGGTGGCCGACGGAGGTCAGCAACGATTAGCAGTGGTCGACGGAGATCAGCAACGATCAGCGGTGGTCGACGGCGATCGAAGGTAATTGATGAATGGTGCTGGTCGAGGGTGATTGGCAGTAGTCAACGACAGTCGATGACGGTCGGCAGTGGTCAACAACAGTTGATGACGGTCGGCGGTGGTCGACGGAGGCCAGCGGTGATTGGTGGTGGTCGACAATAGTTTGCGATGACAGAGATGATGTTGGACTTAAACTCCTTCTATCTCAAGTTCTCTCTCAAGCCTTTCTCTCTCAAGCCTCCTCCCTCATGTGAGGGGTAAGAGTATATTTATAGTGTTATAGGTGCAATTAATGCACAAATATGAACTATTTTGATCAGACGATCCAGAGAGCTTCCCTTAATCAGATGACGTTTGATGGACATTTGAGTACCTTAACGATGTCAAAATTGAGCAATCTTGGGCTCGTTGGATTCATTTTGTTGAGACGTTAGATTCGACTATGAACTTGATAGCTTGGACATCTCTTTGACCTTTCAAATGTGTCTGGAAATCTTTCAAGAGTGGCTGATCCAGGATTGATTTGACTCAGATTGGACTAAATTTGATATCATTAGGTTTGTCTCATTGAACCGGTCAGTTTGACTATAAGTTTGCTAAAACTGGAGCACTGTATAACTTTTATCAAGATTTGAATGCTTCTTACTCAAAATATGGCCTCGAGATTCATGTCATGCTTTGAGATTCGTGCAAACAGATGAAAATTTATTGGTAGTGTATCAGCTGCCCCCCTATTTTTAGGCGGGACCACTTGTATCGTTCAAAAATATTAAGATCTCGATTTTTTTTTTGTGTATATGTATCAATGTATATCTTTATATTGCTTTATTACTTTATTATTTTATTATAAGAAAAATATATATCCTATAGGTGAAGTACTTTACCTCAGCTCAGTTGTTAGTGTTTTTCATCTTCACGTTCGCGGGTGTGGTTCGAATCTCGGGTGAAGACCGAAAAAAGAAAAATTTTTGCCTGGCTTGGGATTATGTGGCCCTTAGCTAAGAGGGCTTAAGACATAGAACACGTAGCCCGCTCGAGGTTGAAAAAACGCTGGTACTAGCCCGCCGAGCTTTGTTGAAGCTGAGAATATGAAGTGTATGGGGAAGGCAGACTGTGCAAATGGGCCACCTAAAAATTTGAGAATTTAATGGAGGATTTAAAGAGTCGCACTACATTAAAGAGAATATGTAAAGTGTTTTTTTTTATTTTTTATTTTTTTAAAGAGCAGCTGTTTTTTTTAATGAGCTGTCGTTTTTTTAATGAGCAATCGTTTTTTTATTTTTTTTAAATCAGCAGCTGTTTTTTTAATGAGCTATCGTTTTTAATTATTTTTAATGAGCAGTAGTTTTTTTAATGTTATGTCTCATATTATGCCTTTAAATAGAAGCATTGGATGAGAGAAAATATCATAAGTGAGGAGAAGAAGAAGGTCATCCTGCGTTGTGGAGAAAAGTTGTGGCGAAGCAAAGAGTTGCGGCGAAGTGAAGAGTTGCAAGGAAGAGTTGCAGAGAAACGTTTCTGCAAAGCATTTCGGTGAAGCATTAAGTCGTTCCTATCCTGCGTAGCAGACAAGTAGCGAAATGTTCTACTACGTTGCAGAAATGATGACAACCTGAGAACCTCGTTCTGCTGAAAACCAAAAGAAAAACCAGAACGTGGAGGATGCGATGTCAATTCTGACGGAGAGCTACTTGATCGTGTTTTGAAAGAAGTATTACTTCTAGAATGGTACGGTGGTGAAATTGTCGGTTTCGACTGATCGAGTGTATTTTCCTCCTTCCGGGTATGTCTCCATTCATGAGGCATCCTTGAGAGCTGGTCTACAATTTTTGTCAGCACTTGGGTTAACTGTTTTCTTCAGGAGTCACGGGTTGACGTTAACACCGACAATTTTAACACAGTTGTGCGGGTTCTTTAGTGACTCACATGATCGTGTGATGTATAAATAGAAGACATTGGATTTTCGTCTAAAGGAGTTGATAAGACAATGGTCCGTGAGATTCTTCTTTACACAGAATGATTGGGGGCCCCACGAGAGGCGAGGAAGGTTTCAACAATTGCCCCTCTCACTTCAGACTACTGAGAAGGGAATATTGCAAATGCTGAGATTTCGTGACTTGTAGGAGTTGTTGTTCGAGACACAATATAATTACGAATTTGTGAGCGAGGAATCAATATTCAAGTTCAAGCTTTCTGTTCATCTCGAATGGTCCACGATGGTAGTATTAAAGAAATCTAAGAATAGACCTTCCGAGCTATCCCTCGTAGAATCCTTAAAGCTGCTCCCAACAAGCAATGACTGTAAAGTATCACCTCAGAAAAATCAAAAGAAAGTTAAAATATTGTAGGAGCCTCTGCCCATTCCTTCAATTGTTCATATTCCTGAGAATGCCCTGTCTCATGAATGTACTGGACTACTGAAGGCCGAGAGTTTTGTAAGTTTCTTTTATTTTCTGCCACTGTATAATTATTTCATATATCTGACTTAGGTTTTTTTTTCTAGATGGATATCACGGTGGAAAATTAGAAGGGCCTTGGACTAGCCCTGACAAAATTGGAACTCCTAATTTATTAAGATTAAATATTTTCAAGGTGAGTACAAGCCTTGATATGAATCCAGGGTTGAAAGAGTCACAACTCTGGAATCACAGTTGACAAAGTGCAATACAAAACTATCAATAATGGCAACTTCTCTTTCATTACAACTTCAGGATCTAGAGAGAAATCGAGAGGGGTTGGTGTAAGCACAAGCCGACCTTTGTGAAAGTAATAGTTGCATGAAAGCCATTGAGTTGATGATGTCAGTCCAGGAGGAAGAGATCTCACTTTTAAAGTCTACGAAGGATGTTGATGTTGCAGAAGTTAGGCTTAAAGCAATTGAGGACTTTAAGAACTTTCTTGAGTTTAAAAATATCATTCAAGACCATATCCAAGAAGACTGTGATTGTGTACTTGATGTTGAGGTAAAGGAGCAATAGAAGTGGTTCACCGAAGAAGGATTCATCCTGAGTTTCTTGAAGGGGAGTCGAGCAGGGCAACGTCAAACCGGGATTGTTGTTGAGGGGCTCACTCCAAGCCAGGTTTCAGAGGAATCTTCCTTTGATTCTAATGGTGATTACATTGAGAGTGAATTGAATAAGATGTTCTTTAACAACAACTAGGTGGCAGAGGAAAACATTGACGTCGATTAGTGTTTTACTCTTCCTTTTCTATTTGTAGTGTATTTGCTTTTGTCATGTTGCTCTAACTACACAGATGCTGTTATTCTTTTCAAACTTTATCAAAATGATTTTGTATTAGTGAATCATGCTAATCATCATATGTTGTTAGTTGTTCTCCCCCCGAATATCTTTTTGATGATAAGCTTGAAACATGTTTTATTTCATGTTACAGTAGATACAAGATATCATTTAGAAGTTCTTGTATGTGAGAAGGTTACCATAGGGATGAATTGCCAACAACATTTGACCTTGCTAAGGCTATCTATCAGAGTTTTACTTGATGATGTTAACATGTATAAGTGAGTCAACGGAAGCCCACTAATTACTTATTAACTTATCTGAGGTTTTTTGTTGGAGCATTGCTCACTTGCACACCTGTGTGGAAGGGGTCAGGTGTAGCTAACCAAGGACTGTTAACCTATCCAAAGTTATTTACCGAAGAAAACACTCGACGATGTTAACCCATATGGAAGAGGTTAGATCAAATCCCCCTAAGATTGATTGTGCTCTGACTAAGATACAACCAAAGTTGTGTATTTCTCGGGTTGAGAGCATAAAGTGACTTGTGAATGAGCCATTACACTTTCTAATGATATCCTTTATGTATAGGAAAGTGAGTAATATTTGAGACACATTGATTATGTATCAGTTGTGATGTAATAACATATGTGAACTATATAACTGGGGTGTTATTGATAGTATTTGCGACGATTTTATGCATTCCAATTCTGGGGCAAGATTTTCCCATCTGAATCCTTGAGCTTGAAGGTTCCGGGCTTGATCTTGGTAGCCACAATATATGGGCCTTCTTAGAGAGGTGATAGTTTATTGCATTGGGGACCATGGCTGGCGGCTTTAATGCTACTCAAGACCATGTCACCAAAGAAGATAGGTTGATGCTTGACTCTCTGGTTGAAGTGGCGAGCAACTCTTTGGCGATAGGAAGTAACTTTCAGATGGGCCACATTACATGTTTATGGGAGGAGATCCAAATGTTATCAGAGCTTTTTCTCGTTGCTATCTGAGTCAAAAGTCTTAACTCAAGGGTTTAGAACTTTGATATTAACTGGGATAACAGCCTCAGTGCCAAAGCAGAAGTTATATGGAGTTTCCCCAGTTGGAGTACGCACGGTTC